GAACCAGCTGATCCCAGGCATCTTATTTCGAGGAGTGGCTCCGTTCATATAGATAATCAGGTAATCTTCAGCTACCAGCATCTCCAGACTGCTCACCACATACCTGGAGGAGCAAGGAGGTATGCTTCATTAGTGGGTCTTAATAAAACAGTTGTGCATACAGCATCATACATGTATCGTGAGAGAGTGCGTACAGACAGGTGAAAGGTCTGGAAACAAAAAGACTTGATTAGGAGATCGGTCTAGATTTGACTGAGGCCCTGTCACATTCCAACAGGATAATAAACCAGTGTGCAGCACGCTCGGTAATTCATCCTTGTGTGGCATCAAATCCTGTACTTGGAAAATAAAGTCAGCCATGGCAGACTCACAGGAAGAGGTTTTCCATGATGTAGTGGTAGTCTGGACAGCTGCTGTCAGGCAGGTAACAGGCAGAGAACACAATGATGGCGTTAAGACCTTCTCCATAATAACCTGAAAGAGAGAAGATTTCAACTGATAGTGAGTAGTTCCTACTGAATACTGAGATGTGCTACCTTTTATCTAGTGCAGAACTTCTTTACATGAATGCCAGCATTTATTGTCAAAGGATCATAACAGTGATTGCATGGTTAATAACAATTTCTGTATATACACTAACTATTAACGATGGCCTTCCTTGAGTTATCACATTGACATCTTTTCTTTCACTGACCTCCATGTGTGATGACCCGCAGATAAGGTCTGATGACCTGCATGTCAATACGATGCTCCTGTTCTCCAATGATTACTGTTCTCCAGAGGCGTCCATTGTTGACGTTCCCGTCCTCATCAACGTCTTTTGAACCGTCACCTGGACCTGCTTTGGCTGAGGCCACCGGTGTGTCATCTGTACATACAGCCAAGGTTTGTTTCAGATCCTGGGCTCAACAGCGCACCATGCTGCACAGTGTTGGTTCCCATGATGAGTAAACTATATTGCCTGCGTAAGATCCTTATATTGATTGAATTAGGATTAGCTTTAGGCTCAGCAGAACTACAGTACAAGTACATTCTGTAATTGTAGTATAGTTTTGTAGCATTATTAAGGATTAAAAATAATATTAATTTAGAATTAGGATTTGGGTTTGTGGTGAAGGTTTTATCCAGGTGTGGATACACTTGTGAGGACAGCTTTCAGACTGTACTAGCAAAGTGGGTATTGGTTGTGTGCAGAAAAAGGCGTCTGTGGGTTCAGTGTACATAAATATAAACAGGTTTTTTCATGCTATAAAGTGTTTCATGAGGAAAAATAAATATAATAAATTAAACAAAGTACAGAAAATGAATTTTATTAGCATTTTTGACACCTGACCTTCCCATTCCAAGTCATTGCCATTGGTGATGAACTCCAGCGAGTCTGTCTCGTCTGGTGTATCAATGTCATCAACGTTAATGTCCAGGTCGTCCGGTGTGTCCAGGAAGTCATCTGACAGCAGAGAGCCCTCACTTTGATCTAGCGACAGGTTCATCTCTGGGGCAACCAATGTACGGCGTTTACAGTGGGATGAAGACACACCGCCTCCTCCTCCAGGCGGGCTCACGTTCAGGGAGTTAGGGGGGGCTACAGCAGCAAAACCAGAAGGGGAGGAAATGTCATAGATCAGTGGTATTGTGGAGTCTCCATTAATGACCAGTCAGTGATCATTCAGTCTTCAGTGTTACTTACAAGCTGTGAGACCACAAGAGGAATCCATGTCTCCGTACTCTGGTAGTGGTCTGGAGGGAAACATACGCAAATACATGTCAGCAACCAGTACTGTGCTTGTTGAGTATAATACTCATGAGGCTACTGAGGACTTAGGTCAACAATCTTTATTCTACCACTTGGCCCACTCAATGGGTCCTTAACATTTAAATTTACTTTCCTATTTTTCTGATTTCTGTTCTCAACTATCCAACAACGTCAAAAAAGGTAACACTGTGATTAGGATGGCAGTCAGTGGACCAGTCAAGGCATGTGTTGTTACTGGTCTGGTTAAGCACTAAAAAGAGGAGCACACAGAAGAGGACAGAGATGTTGTCTCTCTGGGAGAGATTAAGATTACAAGGTTGCCAGGCAGGGAGGCAGAGCAGAGAGGGAGGGGAAGAGGACTGGGGAGGAACAAAGGACAGAGAATGAATGAAAGAGAGAGAAGAAGGGAGAACCTGTCTCTGTGTGTCTAAATACAGAGAAAGTGGCAGAAGCTCTGTTTCCCTTTACACAGTTATGTTATTTACTGTTGACACACTGCAGAGAAGGAGCAGTGCACAGGAGGTCAAACTATTGCTCTGCCTATGTTTGTGTTTGTGAAGCACATGGCCATGTGTGTTTCTTTGAAAGTAAGCAAACTATGCACAATTAGAGCAGATGTGCTTAGACATGCGTGTGTGGTTTTGAGCACATCAACACTAAGAGCGAGTGCAACCAAGGGCCTGAAAACAGAGTTGTGCAGCTACAAGGGTAGACTTGCAGAGAGCTATAGCGCAGTGTTACTCAGCAGAGGGGGTCTAAGCTGCACTCCAATGAAAGCCAAATGTTTCATCCTCCCATCCTCCCAAAAACAATGTGTGATAGTGTGTGCTCCTCCTGAGCCAATAACACTGGCTTTAGCTTAGAGAAACAAGCACTGCTGAGTCTGAAACTGTTCCCTGTGGACCCCTGCAGTGATTAATAGCCTGATGCTTCCTTTGTGAGAAATGAAGCCCTTTCTACAAACATAAAAGACTGAACAAAACGGCCAACAAAAGCAAGATAATCTCTTTTGTTCCTGTTTATAGTTGCACTGTCCTTCAGCTACAGACATTGAACCAATAATGCTTACCTTCTGAAGAGATTTCACCGGGCTGCTTTTGTCAAAGACGATTAGCTTTTTAGCTGCACACAGACTTATATCTGGTTTGCTTACTCATTCCATGTCTTCTCAGCTGATAATAGACAGTATAGTGGAGAGCATCTCTCAAAGGCAGTTCTTCCGTCTCTGTCTGTCTTTAACCAAAACCTGCCACCATTTTCCTGACAATGCTGTGTTGTTGATCTGTAACTGCTGTTTCGTCACAGGATGACGTAGCCTAAGATCATTTATAGCCAAAGCTGCACCTGCTCCCTGGCTTCCTGCCTCCCAGTCTGACAGAGGAGGAAGAAGGAGGGAGGAGGGAGCAGAGATGAGGAAGCGCATTGCTGACTGACATCACACATCTCCCCTGCTCTCTTTCTGCCCATCAAGCTTTGCATTTAAACACTTGAACATCAGAATCCCACACTTTCAGAATCCTTCTTTATGGCTCATTAAGAATCACTCATCTTTTTCCTTAATTTATCTTTTTCTGTTTCTTCATCTGTCTTATTTCCTAGCCCCTCACTGTGAACAGAAATTAAACATCACACTGTGCTCAAAACGTGCTGTATAAATCATGCAGAACAGAAACATAAAGATAAGTAAGCTTTTATACAATAAAGAAGTGTCCATATTACAAAAATACTTTAAACAGCATTGCTTCTCACAGATCTGGGAGTTTTTTTTTTCCTCAGCTATCTCAGAGTTACTGGTGTTCAGCAATAACCAGATTTCTTGACATCAACAGGACAGATGAATAAAAGAGAAAAGTAAAGGGACCCCACCTTGGGAAGTCTTCATCCTGCCACTCATCTTTCACTTCCATGTTTTCCATTCGTAGAGTTGCCTCTGTGGTGCCCATCCCTCAGAGACGAAAGCAGGGGCCTGCAGGTGTGATGAGAAATATTTAATAATGAACCCCATTTATAATCACTGTGACAGGAAAACTGGCACAGAAAACGAGTGCACTAACTAGAGAGTCAGCTACATTATATGTCTTGCAGGGATGTGTGTTTGACTTAAATTCTAAAAGGAAAAAACAGCATTGTATGAGGATTATATCCAAATAATTTACTCTCTTTCATTACATAGGGGCTGAAACCACTGCTGGTCACATGGTCTTCACCCCCCTGCCCACAGCAGCATATGTGAAAGGCATGTGACTCAGACAGAGCCTAATTCCTAAGCTCAGCTCATCTTAGAATCTAATATTACATATGAATTTGCTGCTGAGTGGAATTCAAGAGGCCACTGTGGAGAATAACATTCAGACCTGATCCTCCATCACTGCTCCTTAATCTTACCTCACTGATATGGACACTGCCTTTATAGTCTGCATTCACACTGAGGATCCCTGTCCCTAATAGTATTAATTAAAAAAAACTTGCTGTAGCCCTAATATTACTTTGTTTGTGCTCAGGTGTTTAAGGAGAATTATCATACTATTCAATGCTTTGATACACTCCTCTAAACTAGAGGATCTAATGCGCCGGTCCAGATGCATTATCACAGCACAACTGAGCTACATTAATAACAGAAGCACAGGCCTGTTCTGGCTGATGAACCACATGAGAGCTGCACAGTGGCTGTTTTAAATTGACTTTGTAGCTCTTTGCTCAGGTATGAACATCTCAGCGTTTGAGCAGGTTCTGAGAGTGAACGAAGTGATGAAAATTCCCAGTCTGGGTTGGAGGTTATATAGAAACAAAGACTCAGAGAAAAGCAGTGTAAAATATTGTGGTGGGAAAATATGGTACAATGACCAAGTGTGATTATGACAATCAGTGCATAATGATTATGACAAACAATGTTAAACAAAGTAAATTCCTGTGACAATTACTAGAAGGAGCTGAGTAATTTTTGTGGTTTTGGCAGCGACACTTGTGGCTGAGAATAAACTGGCAGACAGCCACATCTCACACAAAGGAAATAAATCCTATCTGAGGAACAAAGCAAAGACAAGAAACTTCAGCATGTAGTTTAAACCACTAACACACCTCACACACACCTGACAGTAGTAGGTCAATGTTATCTGTTATAAAATATGACAATACACTGTGGTGCACACTGTCAGTTCAGCAAAAGTGGAAAGAAGAAAAGAGAATAACTCATTATCAATAATTTAAAAAAACTGTTTCCTATTTATGTTTGATAAGCTTGGACGTTTTGTCTATATGAAATGAACAATGTGCAAAACTACCGGAACAAACTGAGAATATATACAACTATAAACCATTACATATATCATTTAAAGACCTTATTCTTGTCCAAATATCATGCTATGCATGTTAACCCCTTCATTTTGTAGTAAAATCCTGATGCTCTTTTCTCTCTCCTCTATCCACTCACCCCAAATGGTTGAAGCAGAGGTCTGCCCAACAGGAGCCGATGTCTGTCTGAGGTTTCTGCCATTAAAAGATGTTTTTCCTCCCCATTGTTGCCAAGTGCTTGCTCAAGGGGATTTGTTGGGTTTTCTTTATAATAGTGTAAGGTCTAGACCTGAATGTGCAAAGTACCCTGAGATAACTGTTGTTGTGAATTGGCGCTATACAAATAAATTGAACTAAACTGAATTAAAATGCCCCCACAGTGTTTCTAGGTCATCCTTAGCAGGACAGATATAAAAATAGATTTCATGTGTTGGTCAACAAATGCAGTCAGTGCAAGGCGTCTACCGGTACAATAGAGTGAGCAGAGTAGAAATGTATGTTAGTTATATCAACAATTATACTCACATGAGTGGTGATAGATCCCCTCAAAACCTCTTGCTGGTCCGTGCCTGCGTGTCCTCCCTTGTCCTCCGTCACAGATGCAAAGATTGGAGGAGAGAAAACCCTGATCCTCCACACCAACAGAAAAGCATGAGTCAGGCTTGAAAATATCTCCTCTCTGTCCTTGACTAATTCAAATGCACACACACTCATGCAGAAACACAGGCATACAGTGTCCTCAATGTCAGCCACTAGCCAGCAGCAGGTGCCTGAAAACAGGGGGTACCTCTGTGTTCAACTCCCCCCGGCTCTCCTCCGCCTCTGGCCACCGTTGTTGGGGAAGACGGGCTGTGAAGATTGAGCTGACAGGCTGCCTCACAGCTCCTATGTCCACATCAGTAAGACACAAAATTCCTTTAATGAGAGTGCATCTGCCCTGGCATCGTGATCCAACCAACACACAATTTCTCTCTCTGTCTCCTCCTTTTCTCTACTTGTGGTTGCAGTATCTTTCCCTCTTACTTCAAAACAAATTTAAATTCCCCCATGGAAGCAGCTTATTTATCCCTATGGCACCCAGGGAAAATGAGCACATTCCCCTTGTCCCTTTACTCCATCAGATAATCTTGCTGTTGTTTCCAGTGGTCCTCTATGTGGCTGCTGTTCCCTGGCAACAGCATCCCTCTCTCTCTCCATCCATAGCTTCTCCCCTCCATCCCCTCATCCCATTTGCTTTCATACCCCAATTCTCTCTACACCACATTAATTATTCAGTCCCTTACTTCACTTGCACCCAACCAATCATATCACTCTTACAGTTTCCTTGCATGGTACCCTCACTTTTGCTGCATGTTGCTAAAATAGACCTCTTTCTAATTTAGGGATTCTGCACCTCTAGTGGTAGCAGTAATCCTATAAGGCTCAGTAGTAATTATGTATAGGTTAATGTTTTTATTGCAGCATTTCATAAGTGAGTGTTTCTTTTCTGTCTTAAAATTTGTTCTGTTGAGGGGCCGCCTTTAAAACCCAGGTCGTTTCCCTGTCATGATTCTATCCCCTCTGCTTCCATTATCATGCTTTTATTTTGACACCACTTCTTGTCACGGTGTCATTTCACCTGCAGACTCTTTACACTAATCAGTGACAATTGTTTGCACCTGTTTTCATCTCTTTATAGGCAGCTTCCTCTCACCAAGAAGCTGCCAGATTGTTCTAACCCATGTTCAGACTTTCCAGCGTTACCTTGCCAATTATGAAATTCTCCCATATTAGTTAGCCTATTTGACATGGGTTCTGTATATAATGTAATGTTCAAACATTGTGGAACTGCCTGGTAGTTGGATTTATCCTTGCTTTCAGGGGTGTTGCTAGACAAAGCTCTAGTGGGGGCACATGCTCCTCATTATTCAAATCACAACTACTGAATCCCTGTTACACTCGATTGCAGGAGAGAGGAAGACAAAACATCCTGTGAAATATTCAAGCCTCCAGCAGGTGCATCATTTTGAGTTGAGTACCACTGTAGAATCTTCTCTACTGGGTGTCAGCATACGTCAACAGTAACACCTGTACTTTGTGAGATGAAACCTAAACAAAATGTAACTGATTACATTAATATATTGCTGTCACAGGAGGGACCAAAATCAATATTTTCATCTCCTTTAAATAATTTTGCATATCTTTTTACTTATTTTTGTTTGACAGTCAAAGCAGCAGGAGGTGCCATAAGGCTCAGGACTGTAATGTCTCCACTGTGCCAAAGGCCATACAGCAAACAGGGATTTGTAACACCACACTCCAACCGCCAGAAGGCGGGCATGTGATGGGGAGAACTTGTTTCTCAGGCTTCTTCTTTCCAGATGTGTTGAACCAAAATCCATATGGCAGCTCAGTACATTGTAAATCTAAAACGACTGTGGATTTGTGTTGTAACCATTACAACAATTTTGTTGTTGCTGACAGAAGCAGTGGTGTATCTCAGTTTATCTACCCAGTGAACCAGCTGTTTAAAATATCCTCCAGCTGTGGAAAATACTTTTCATGCCAGTCATTGCTTCTCTTTTTGTCAAACAGTGACTGAGCTTCAAATAAGAACAGAACAGAGTGGTGCACTTGATTAAATTAAAATCATGTAAAAATAGATTGGTTGCATCTACAGTCTCTTAATTATGTTTTCAGTCACTTAAGGAAGCATCATAACTAATTGGTCTCCTGTAAATTCAGCTGGGTTGGTGTCATTACTGGTTTCACAACGAAATACTGACTCACAAAGCTCAGTACTGACTGACAAACCCATTTCTCTGTTGTATGTCAACAACCTTATATCAGCGGTCCCTGCTGACACTTTATAGGACAGAAAAGGACCAGGATCAGGATAAGTCTATTAAGTGAATGTCTCTGAATGACTGCACTGAAAATGAGACTGCGAATCATATGAGTTACAAAGGCTCAGTTACAATAATTTGGGCCATATGGTTACAAATTTTGCTGCAGCTAATAACGGCTATTTACATAATCACTTAAACCATTGATTTATTTTAAAGATCAACACTTAACATCATTGGATACACACTCTACAGTATGGTCTGTATATTAACTCATGAGCCAGAGCCAGCAACTGTGGGAGGGAAGGTAATGATGGGAAAGATCCCCAATCAACTCAAGATGTCAGCTCACTTGTTAGCATCAAAACAGATAGCTACCTTCACCCACCTATGAAGCTCACAAATTAACACGCTATGACTTGTTATTTTAATCTTTACATAAAGCAATTTGTAAAAAACATTAGAAGCTGTGGTTTCATTGGGAGCCATGTGCTTTGAAGACAGCCAGGCCAGCTGTTTCCCTCTGCTTTCAGTGTTTATGCTACGCTAAACTAATCAACTCCTAGCTCAGTATTTAAGAGTGATATAAATGTGGTCCCTTTTTTTTGTTATGACAACATTTTAGCTCCATATATTCATCGCATTCATTTTAGTGGAACAGTTTGTCATCAAAGCCTGGATTTTGCATCAGCTTTTGGAGGACAAACTGGACATTCCTGAATAACATCAAAGCCTTCAAATGAAATATAACAAGATAAAGTTTTTAACATCTTTAAAGCATTTTCTTTTTGGCCTTTAAACCTGCTGATTATGTTTCACTTACTTTCCAGTCTGTTCCTTTCAGTACATAGGGGAATGCAGGGTAGTATTAGAATGAGTATGCACCTGTTTGACACGGTAAAAATGTACATTATTATTATTATATGTTTCACAAGGTAGTCTGAACCTGTGCAGACAGTCCAGAGCAACATGGGTAAGGACTGAACAAACGAAACACCACGGTTTCCATTTAATGGGCAGTTTGGGTTTTGTTATGAATTATTACGTGCAGTGGTGTAAAGTAATTAAGTACATTTACTCAAGTACTGTACTTGTATACAATTTTAAGGTGCTGAATATTTGTTTAGGGCAGCATGGTGGCACGGTGGTTAGTGCTATTGCCTCCCAGCAAGAAGGTTCTGGGTTCAAGCCCCGAGGCCTTTCTGTGTGGAGTTTGCATGTTCTCCTCGTCCTCCCACAGTCCAAAGGCATGCAGCTTAGGTTGACTGGTGTCTCTAATATGCCTGTGTGTGTGCATGCAGGAGTCCCTGCGATGGACTGGCGACCTGTCCAGGGTGTACCCTGCCTCTTACCCAGCAGCTGGCTGGGATTGGCTCCAGCCCCACGTGACCCCGTTTGGGACTAAGTGGTATAGAAAATTGATGGAATGTTTGCTTATCTGTGTAGATTTCACAGAGACATTTTCTTTTTACTTTGCTTTTTCTTTCTTCTCCCATCAATCATTTTACAACCATTCAGAATTATTTTTACTGACCTCTAGGTTGGGAATCACTGGACCAGCTACCTACTGTAAGGGTTCATATACATGTCTTTTTTAGCGCTGAGTAGTACATTTTCCCCCAGAATATCTGGGTAATCATTTGATTGTGCCCTCCACAGATTCTAGATGCAACAAACCAGCGGAGGAGTGTTCTTTTCTTTGAAAGCTTTAATCTTTTTTCATTTGTGAGCATTCTGTGGAGCTGTAGCTCTCAATTTATTTCATCTATTCAAAGGACATTCTCCCTGAAGCACTGTGGCTTGTCAAAATGTATTTTAGCAAACTCCATTCAGGTTTTAGGATTCGCTTTCAAATGGGCTCTTCCTGGGCCTTTGTCCATGGAACCTATTCAGAAAGCAACATACAGTATGTGTGACTCGACACATTGGGGCCACAGCTTGTCTCTGTTTTGAAGTTTTCCTTGGTTCCTTTTTCACCATTCAAACTTTCTTTGTGTTCAAATTCAGGCTCAGTTGAAATATCACTCCAATTCAATTATTTATCACCACTTCTGGGTACCAGTATTTTTATTCAGCCTATTATAGGAGATCTTTGTATTCCAGATGTATGCAGGTATACATGAAAAAAGACATTTTAATTTTAAACAAATGGAGCATTGTTTCAATGAGGTGTATGGGTCCCAAAGCTTTAAGCTCCATCTCTACGTATGGACCACCATTTAAAGGGTAAGTGTTGCATTGAACTGCATACAATTGTACAGGTGTGACCATTAAAGTGGCCTGGCAGTGTATTATGCTTTGACATTAGAACAACAAATCATCTCTTTTCACGTTATTATCGATCTAAATTAATCCACTGTCAAATATAGGAGCTTGTTAAAGCTCCAGCGTGTGATTTTAGGGGTTCCAGCTGGAACTGGTCTAAAAAGGGGTCTAACGACGCCTATGCCTGTATTAAGAAGCTCCTTCTGTTTACCCTAGATTCTTTATCATCATTGTCATCAGCGTGACTGATATGTAGCAAATACCGCAGGAGACTATGCAAGCGAAGTGAGAGAACTCACTTCAATCTACTTCCGTCTTCGCTAGCCCGTTATCATTCTGTAGAATCTCGTCTTTAATAAACTTTATCCCAGTGGATAATCGGCGTCTTCTAAGTGTAAATCACAGACTGTATATTTAGTGTATACTGTACTGTATATAGGCTGCAGCCTGTTGTGTAATTTGACAGCGTAAACTTACTTGAGGCCGCTGAACCAAATGCTTTTATTAGCAAGAAAATTAACATTACTTAACTGCACCATCACTTGCATTGTTGAATAGGGATTTTCTTTTACGTTTTTTTTTTGCTAAATTAGAAAGTTAAAAGTTGTATATGACTTGAATAATTGTATGCAATGTATTGTGAAAAATGAGAACTATGCATCTAAAGTGTAAAGAATTCTAATTCGTATTTCATTTTTAATATATATGTGATTACGTTTTGTTGTATTTACCAGTCACCGTGTGTAAGATTTTTTTTTTCGTCTGACGCAGTTCGGGCGTTTCAGAGCAGTCTTTGGAGGGTGAATTATTTTGACAACCAATTTCATCTTTGACGTTGGCTGCCAGTACTGTATGTCAAGATGGCTGCGAGCAATTATTTCGGCTTCACACATGGTGCCGGTCCGCAATACAGGTAACTCAAATGATGTAGGTCGGTGTCATGCTGTCTGTTGAGTCACATTTGTCAGTCGTCGAGTGATATCGGCACAAACACGACCTCAGTGGGAAATTCACTGCGTGGCGATGCAGAGACCGCTAGCTTGACCCGCTAGTTATGTTAGCTCATGTTAGCTAGCTGAGTCCGCAGGCCAGCGCTTCACAACATTAGGTGAACCCTAATACGGTCATCTTCGTCAGGAAAACTGCTACTTAGGGTTCAGCACTTTACCACTTGGTGTACTTTACCAAAAATATCAGTTATAGCAAGTGTCAGGCTGCTGGTTAAGTTAGCCGAGCTGCCTGTAGCGGTAGCGATGGAGAGAGAGTTTAGCCGGTGTTTAGGATTTAAGAGGGCTGACCCTGGTCCGCTGTTGTATAAGGTCCTGTGTCTCACAAACAGGGTATTTGCTATAGCCATCTGTTCAATAACAGCATGCTGATACAAAGGGAAAGCTAGATTTAGATGAACACCATTTACCAGTACAAATATCAGCTAAACCATATACACCGTGACTGACGGGTAATCAGTGAGTGAGAGTGTCCTATTTTGTCTGTGTGTTTATGTCAGGTGTGCTGGCTAGCAGTCAAGCCAAAACACTACCCAAACAAGAGTGGACTGTTTTCTCTGCAGGCTGTGTCCCCTGCCCTGATGTGAAAACATTGATAATCAGTCTTAAAGATCACGTTAAATCCTAATTCTTTAGACTTTTGAGTTTAAACTTCTCAATCCTCAAACATGACAGTGTGTTAGAGATGTACAACTAAAGTGAAGTGTTAATATACAGCTGCAGCTTACTGTTATTTTCATTATGGAATTAATCTCAATTGTTTAATAAAAATAGTGAGAAAAGTGAACTCTGAAAGTCCAAGGTGATAGGGGGGTGTCATTTGTGCTTGAGAAACCACTTAAATTGGTAGTAGATTGTTATTAAACTGTTATTCAGGTATGAAAATAGTTAAAGATTATCTCTTGTCCAGAGCTTAAGAGGCTTACTGGTGGCACTGGCAGCTTTAGTAGCAAGCAGACAAGTAGTCAACATTGATTTGTTTTCCTGTTTATTTTGGCTATTTAAGTATCTGATATGGTGACAAATGCTTAGACATGAGTTAGCGCATGTTATGTAGCACTTGCATAATCTTGGAAATTAAGTTAATATTTCTGCAGTATCCTCAGATTTGTCCATAGTATGAGGTCATTAAATTACAGTCATTTCTATAGAGGAACTCTTAAGATACTCAGTGGACAAGGCACAGACTAGTCTGGAAAATAGGTATTTTCAAATCTCTCTCAGTTGTCTCTGTTCCTGTTGTCTATGATTGTGCGGCTGTTTTGTATTTGCACAGATTCAGTTTTTATAAATCAAGTTAGTGTGTTTTCTGTCTTCTCATTTTCTTTCCTACTGTTTCCTTTTTTGTTTCTCTGTTTTCTGACAGTCAAAGCTGCTCAGTCTCTCTATAGTTTTGCCTTCCATACCTAATCTTAATGTAATGTTAACATGTTGTATTTAGTGTTCCTGCCCATTTGTAGTCCCTGTTGTTTATAATTTCTTTACATTTGAAATTAGTTATTTTTACTTTGAAATAGAGCTGTAGTGATTATTAAGCACTGAGTGATCAATCAGTCAATTGACTTTAATTCAACAACTATTTGGAGAAATCTGTAAAGCTGTCTCAAGTTTGACAGTGCACGTGTTTCTCATAGTGACTTGACATTTCTCCCCCTCTCCTCTCCTTCAGTACTCAGCCTCCCACAGCCTACTCCCATCCCTCCACAGCCAGTTACACTGTCCAGCAGGCTCCAGCTGTGGCTCATGCAGTGACTGCATCCTACTCTCCATCTCCAGTCCAGGCAGCCCAGCCTGTGGTTTCTGCCCCTTACCCTGCCTATCAGAGCCACCAGGCCCCCCCAGACTATGCCTACAGGCAGCCAGACCCCCCGGCCCCCCCTCAGCCCACCACAACCCCACAGACGTACCAGGTATACTCAGACACGGTCAGTCTCTTTCTGATTTCTTATGATTTCTGCTTTTCAGTTTCCTATAGCTTACTGTATAGTAGCATGGTCGTCTAGGATGTTATGTGATGAATTTTATTTTCATTTTTCACGCTTTGCTTCAAGCTGCTATGATACCAGCACAGACAGTAGTGCATGCAGCTTCTGCATCAACTTTGATCATATTCTCATTTTTCAAAAATAAAGTGTTGATCAGAATTTAAAAGTGCATTAACTAAGATTTTACACATTGACAAATAAAGCTAAAATGGGACAGGATGTGGTGTCTCTCAGCTATACTGCCTCCCCTCCATGACTGTGCTGCCTACAGCCCTTCTGTTGTTATTACTGCTTCTCCACCCTCAGTTTTGATGGTTGGTCCGGACATTAGCCCTGCCTTGCCTCCTAGTGAAGTTTATAAGTGTTTATCACTTTGTGTTTTTCAAAAAGTCAGAAACAGTGGCGGCCAGACCAAAGAGGTCTCAGAGAGATTTGGACAAAGAAAGAGCAAAAACCATGCTTAACATTTGTTTGGTTTCTGGAGATAGAGAGTGAAGCAGCAAGAGGACTCATTTGATCCAGATACGGTGCTCTTTCTTCAGAATGTGTTAGCATCTAAAGCTAATGTGTTTGTTTTAGTAACATTAGCGACCTGGCATGATCATGATTTTACTTTTGTGTTAAATGAATATAGATTTTAATTTGGGAGTAATTTGAGCTTTGTGTCATGCTAGGGCTCTCCCAGCCCTGTTTGGGACTGTCTCCTGACTGTCACCCTCGCCATTTGACACTGTGCTGCTGTTGAGCCGGGAGTCATTAGTCAGCTAACGGTAGCTTAGGACTGGTGCTAGCTGTGTTTACTAATGTTAGGAAGCCGGCAGGATGTGTCACTTTGAGTCTCGCTAGATCCTCTAGTGGCTAAAAAGGAGTTAGTTAATGCACCTTTAAAAATCCTTTAATTCTATTAAAATGCTTTAATTCTATGCCTTGTTATAATAAATATGCTTTTAAAAAAAATCTTGCTGCAGTTATACATTTTAATATGCTGCTTTGCCATTGAATAAAACGTTCACTTGTAAACACCAACAGGATAACTACAGCTACGGACGCCCTGCTGCTGTGACTACATATGATAATAAACAGTACTACCAGACAAGTATAGCTCAGAGGACACCTACAGAGAATTACTACCAGACTGGTGAGTCAGTTTATTTTTTACATTCATGTTGTCTTTCATGAAGTTTCTGTTGGTGTTAGTGCTGATCAATTATTCAGTGTTATCGTTTTGACTTGACTATAGGGCCATAATGATATCATATAGGTATAGAAGATATTATGGACTGATTTTAGCTTATCGTGTGGGTATATGTTGACTGAAAACTAGCAAGAATAGCACAGAATTTTCATCTATGCTTTTTCCCTCCTTGAAAGAAATATGAATGAAGAGATTTTCAAATTGATCAGGAATTTATTCCCTCCATCCAAAACTCCTATAGGTTGAATAGGACTTTCTAAAAGCATTAAGAGCTGACTAACTCTGAAAGAATAACAAGTAGCTTGAATTTAACTCAGTGCACACTTTTTCAGACACATTTTTCCTAAAAAACATCTTGTCTTATATTCAGACCAATGTGGTATTTTCAGAGCACCATTATCTTTATATTCATTATATATTTTTTCTCAAGTGCATGTATGCTGAACACATGAGATTGTCAGGCTAATGTTACTGTGTGTATGAATATAGAATACTGACATAAACCAAAATAAAATCAATTAAGACCAAATAAAAATAAAACAGTGTTAAAATGTAAAACTGTGTGGAACACTGAGAGAGACACACACACACACACAGCTACCATCATTGTTGGTATTGTTTACTTTGCACTTTTGAAGGGTAGTGTGGTATATGGTATGTGAAATGTGTCTGCTGCTCATTTGTTAGTGATATGAAGGGTCTGCTAAACAGTCTGACAGGCCGTTGCAGAGGAAGCAGTGAATGTTTCAATTCTATTTTGCTTTTGTCTCTCCTTGTTCTGATGCCTGTCATCTCCATCTTTATACCCTTTTCATTGCCCTGCTCTCAATCCCCCATTTCTTTATCAGTAGGAGTGAAGAGCGCCTACAGTCCAGTGCCCTCGACTGTGTACAGCCAGCCACCTCCTCCCCAGAGGCAGGTTACAGCCCTGAAACCTTTGGCTCCCTCCAGCTCTGTGTCCACCAGCTACAACATCTATCCAGTGTCCACCAGTGTCCAGCAGCCTCCAACGCCCATTTCATCCTACACCCTCGGCTCCTCCTTCAGCTCCTCTGTTTCAGCTACTTCCTATTCAGGTAACATAATTGTTAAGATGAGGTCAAAGCTTGCATTGTGAATGATTCTTCCTCTTATTTATAATTCTGCATTGAAATGTTTTCCTCCACACAGTTTTGTTAGCTTCTTAGTCCCATTCGGATGAATGTATGTCACAGAAACAGCCAGCAAACAGCTGTGCATTGCACTTTAATGGAGATGGATAAACAAACCTGATGCACATAACATTATGCAAAACCAGGCACATGGCTGCCACAATCTTTTCTCTTGTACACGTAGACCACAATGTTTGAAAACACTTCTTATAAAGTACAAATCTCATCTTTATGTGGCTTGGCCTAGTGGGTTTTGTTGTCCTTTTCTCCTCCTTCTGTAGTTTGTTAAATAGATCCAACCTTAAGGTACATCCATGCCACCACTTAATATGGTTATTCCCTCTAACCACAGGGGGACATACTGAGCAAACTGCTGCTTGGCACACCAAAATGAGGAGAAGATGACTTCAAACTACTGTGCTAGGGCTACCTTCTATTGCAATGCATGCTGACTGACAAAAAATAAAATAAAAACAAAGGCTCATGTAGAAGAGTCTCAGTCGACTGACAGATGTCTCAACTAATGACTGGGCTATTTGACCGTTAGGGTGCAGCCCTACTTGGCACCATTAGTTTTTCATCTTGTGTCACATATGGCAGGTCAGATGAGAAATGTATAACAAAAAAATAAAGCCCTGTTGTGGTCCTTTGTCTTTATTTGACCTGGATGCTGCCCCCCTGGTGAAATTAAAGTGCAGCTTATTGCTTGCATGTCTGCTGCTGACTGTTCATATTTGACTCATATCTTGAATGCTTTGCTTTTCTCTAATAACTCTATACCCTCACTCTCTCCCTCTGCTCTGTCACCCTCAGGCATTAGCTACTCTAGCTATGATTCAACTGGCTATACCTCTACTTCCACCCCTTCTTATTACCAGCCGGCCCAGCAGACTCTCGCCCAGCCGCAGCCTCCACCGCAGCAACCGCAGCAGCCCCAACGGCCCCAGCCCCCCATCCAGCCTCCACCCAAACAGCTGACAAGCTCATCCTGGAGCAACTCAGGAAGCAACATGGTGACAGTTCCAGCTGGAAACATCTACAAAAAGCCGACATTTCACCAGAACAAGCTGCAGAAGGCCAAAGGGCCTCCCAAGCCGCCACAGCTCCATTACTGTAACATTTGCAAGATCAGCTGTGCAGGGCCTCAGGTAGGAGGTTGTAAATGATACGATGCTGAATTCATGAGATTTTTAAGGGCTTTTAATATAACAGCACTGTTTTGTTGTGCATTAGAGAGCACCAAAAGACAATGATGTGAAAAAGAGAGCTCAGAGTATGTTTGCCTCTCTTTATGAATTAGCTTGTCATCATTATATGTCAGCAGTTGTCTGATATGATTATAATATATTGAATTTATTTCATTAGAATAAAAACAGTTTGATAGTGTTTGTTTGAATGTGCATGTTTGGATGCTTCAATCAACTGGTTTGATTTACTGCACCAGACATACCGAGAGCACCTTGAGGGCCAGAAACATAAGAAAAAAGAAGCGGCCCTGAAGTCTGGTGTTCAGACGGGGACCAGCAATGGGCCGAGAGGGGTCCAGACTCAGTTACGCTGTGAGTTATGCAACGTCTCCTGCACTGGAGTGGATGCCTACGCCGCCCATATCCGAGGAGCCAAACACCAGAAGGTTAGCTCAGCTGCTTTTTATTTCCTACAATATGTGTTATTGAAGAAAATATCAGCAGCTGTAGAGAATACTGCTTTGCTTTTATTAGCGGACATGACTGTGGTGTATTTGTGATGTTCCATCTGAGCTGCCAAGTCTTGGAACAAAACCTCCCAGAGGGATTTGAGGTAGAATTAAGTATCAGCTTTAAGTGTTTGTATCTCCCTCTTTCTCTTTTCTTTCACCCTTGGAAAGGTGGTGAAACTTCACACCAAGCTGGGCAAACCTATACCTTCCACTGAGCCTGTGTTGGTGAATTCTGCTCCAGTTGTCACAACCTCGACAGCTGGGAAAGCTCCGGTCTCCAGCTCCACTCCTGCCTCTGTTTCTACCACTTCGACTCCCACTGCAACACCCAAACAGGTGGCTGTAAACACCCCGGCTAAAACCACACCGCCAGTCAAGAAACCAGCTTCTTCCAAAATAATGGTCATTTGTAAGTTTGTTGATTTGTTATATAGAGAATTAATGTTTTTTCTCTTCATTTAACCCATTTAATATCGAATGTCTACTGATCTAAACAATCAATCAGACAGTGTTTGCCACCATAGTACAGATGCACAGTGCACAAAAAGGACACAACTTGACAGTTAACGTAAAATCCTTTTTAATATGGATTTCTGGTTATATTTCTGGTATATCTAAATGGAAATTTTATATTTTCTGAAACTTATTTTTCAGTCTTTGGAATAGAAACAGAGGTCTGTTGTTGTTTTTCCAAACAAATGAGCACAACATTTCTTAACTTAGCTCTTTAAAACTGTAATATCTGGCCTGCCTCACAGCCACGAAGCCAGCCAGCACCCCAGCAGCTGCAGCAGTGACAGCAGCAGTGGTGGCAGTGCCAGTCAAGGTTGAGGAGCCCTTGCACCAGTCACTTCTGAAGATGGAACCTCAGAGTGAGGATGAGGACGGTGACAGAGCTGGAGGTCAGGGTGACATCCAGCCAGTGGGGCACGACTATGTGGAGGAGGTAGGCAGTAGTACAAACATTGCCCAGCAGTTTCATCTACTCCCAAGACTTTACAGTATTCAAGTTAAAGAAAGAAAGATGCAGGTCCAGGGTTTAAAAAATTTGTACTTTGAGTCTTAAAAGTTAAACTTTATTGTTACCTGTAAAGTACTCTCCTTACATCTCTGTCAAATCTTTGTCAATTTGTATTGTATTCAGCCCAAAATTCAGCTTTGGTAAAGTATCAGTTGTAATCATGTTGCAAAATAGTAATAATTTTAATAACTGTTGCATTTTTTTATGTATGAAAGATTTCCTATAATTATCTACAGTTTAAAAATGTCCCTGGTAGGCTAGTGGTTAAGGCACAGCGCTCTCCCCGCTGCACCCCCCGGGTTCCAATCAGGGTTGGGTCAGGAAGGGCGTAAAACACATGCCAAATGTCAACATTGCGAGTCGTCAGTGTGATGATTCGCTGTGGTGATGATTCAGGAAAAGCCGAAAGTGACTTGTTCTTTCTTTATCTACAGTTTAAGAATACGCTTTGTGTTGTGGTGCTCCTGCGTCATAATATATTCTCCTGAATGATCTGTCTGTTTTAGGTCCGCAACGATGATGGCAAAGTGATTCGATTCCACTGTAAGCTATGTGAGTGCAGCTTCAATGACCCCAATGCTAAAGACATGCATCTGAAGGGAAGAAGGCACAGATTGCAGTATAAGGTAAGAAATGCTCTGGTTAATTATTTCATATGGTTATGAGCTGAAGCATTAGAAAATCTGTTGAATCTTTACCTTGTCTTCCTCTTTTGCTTGGAAAGCAACAAAATGTATTTCACCTATTATGCTAAGAATCAGGGCTGAATGGGTGGACTGGTTTGACAGCAGTGTCTGAATACTTTGCTTTGACCCAGCAGGTTCTTCTCTTTTTGCCTCTGTGCACAGATTTGATAGCAGGTCTTAACCAAAAGTAATTCCTGGATATCTTCAAGACCCATCAGTCACAAACATACAAAGATGTGCACAGTATGCACATTAATGCACAAATTATAATATAATCCTGTATTAATGCACAAGCAAAAAGCCTCACAAGTATCAAAAAGTTGAGATTTTAACTTTGCTGCTATCAGGAACACTAAACCTCATCTCTGAACATGTTTTTAAAAAGCTCAAGTTTCAAAGGCAACAATTGCTCTCTGTGTGGCTTCTAACTCAGAAAGGAGAGAAACAGATTGTTTCATTCTGTTGGCACTAGTGTGGGGATGGCATGGCAAAGTATAGGATCACATGTGCACTGACTGTCACAACATTCTCAATAAATTCCCCTTACGTTTGTCTCTGTCCTTCTCTGTGTCTCTCTACAGAAGAAAGTGAACCCAGAGCTTCCTGTGGAGATCAAGCCCAGTAATCGGGCCAGGAAGTTGCAAGAGAGCAAGCTGAAGAAGCAGAAGCAGAAGGCGGTTCTGAAGAGACAGAGGGACGATGAGCAGCGCTGGCACATGGAGATGAGGTCAGAGTCGTGGCCGGAGATGAGGTCAGAGTCGTGACTGGAGATTTCAGTCACTAACCCACTATGACATTAAAGTACACGGGTTTCCTTGGTTGGTACTGAAGAGAAAAGGCAACATTGAGGAAGACACATTCACACTAGTAATTTTAGTTAAAGGGAAGTCCTAACGTTGATCAGCTGACTGAGATTCATGTAGGAACACATGGAACAAAAGGGTTTTTTCCATTATAGGAACTTGTCGAGATAGATAATGCTCGTCCCAGGCTCTAAGTTTGTTTCCGCTGCCCTCCAACTGCTTTGAAGTGCATCCCAGGAGCTATATTTCGGCGACTGTCAGGAGGTAGTACTAAAATCAAGTACCAGGAATGCAAGGGGGTAGGGGGTGGGTGCGTGCAGCACGGTCGCCCTTATCTTTGTCTTCACACCTCAAGGACTTCACTCGTTGGTTTTAGAGGTGAAAAGGTGGCTTCAGTGAGTGAACCGTGGGCAAAGCAGTGAAGACATCACATTTCTGCAAGTTTGTGTTCTGTTTGTTCAACAGCTGTTTGATAAACTGCACATACAATCTCCCTTTACTGGCTCATTGCTGTACTATAGAGTGATTCTTCATGTCCTCTGCTCAGGCTCGTGTGTGTAAGAGGACCACAGCCCCTCGCTCCTCTAAATAGAGACTGACACAGTGAAGTAGAAAAACAAAGCAGGGCGGTCCATGTCAACCCTTGAGGTTATGTCGGGGTGACCGTTAAGGGAAACACGGGGTGTACCACTCATTAGGTTCCAACAGTGACAGTGCAGCTAAAAGGAATTTCATGCTGCACTTCCCATTCTCTTGACTCTGTGACACTAGTCAGTCACACAGTCCTTTATTGTCAAATAAAATATGATCTTTCAACATAGCCGTCCCTGGTAGGCTAGTGATTAAGGCGCAGCGCTCTCGCCGCTGCAGCCCAGGTTCGAGTCAGGGTTGCATCAGGAAGGGCATCCAGTGTAAAACACGTGCCAAATGTCAACATTCGAGTCGTCATTGTGATGATTCGCTGTGGTGACCCCTAAATGGGAAAAGCCAACAGGAGAAAGTCATTATTAGTTGAATTAGTTGTAAAAAATTTAAACCTTCCTGCCACATCTGGTGTATTCACTTCAGTAACGTTCCTATACTGTACAATAACATTTTTGCCATAGCAGGCCTGTGCTTTAATTCTTCTGAAACTAATTGTGTACCTTCAGATTTTCTTCAGCTAACACAGAGCTTTTGACAGGAGACCCCAGTACAATAATTATTTTATATGGTACAACATAGATTAGAGTAAATGTTTTGTCAAAGTGCTTTTTATGGAGTACTGAGTACTTTTAATGATAACCATAATATTCCCCTGGGGGATAATTGACTTTTAATGAACTGGGTTTAAAAAAAAACTCCCCCTCTCCTGCAGGCGATATGAGGAGGACATGTATTGGAGGAGGATGGAGGAGGAGCAGATGTACTGGGGGGAACAGAGACGCAGGATGGGTCCTCTACCTCTGATGAGCCGCCCTGGTATGCCAGTGCCCCCTCTACTGGTGAGCACTGTAACTGCACTTCTTTTTGCTTGGTTAATGTACTCTAGAAAGCAGAAAACGTAATGAGACTTAATGCCAAGTGTGATCAATGGCTGCACTCCCCCCTCCCTTAAGACATGTGTGCGCCGGCCTGACTCTCCTGACGACCGTCACATCATGGCTAAACACTCCACCATTTACCCAGTGGAAGAGGAGCTGCAGGCTGTTCAGAGGATCGTCTCCCACTCTGAGAGAGCCCTAAAACTGGTGTCAGACTCCCTGCTGGAGAAAGAGATGCCAGCTGTTGCTCCAGCTGCTACTGAAGGAGGAGATGAAAAATGGTAAAAAAGTGACATCTGGGAGATAATCGCATTTTTTCTGTCTGTGTTGGTGTAAAACAGGGATAAAGGTATTTGAAGCAATAAAGCACTTTTGTTGTGTGGCATAAACTAAAGACCTACTGAAGATGCAAAGGTATTAAATGTAAACTCAGAAATATAAGCCATTCATAAATAAAATGTTGAATGTGTTTATGTCACTGTTTAAGATCCATCAGGTTGCTGCTGAGAAATTTGAGTCTGTATCAGTTTCAGCAAATAGACCATGAATCCACAGGGAATCTGCTGAAGTTTCATCACAAGACTGAATTTGAAGCCAACTTGTCCACTTTTCTCTCGACAGTACTGAGAACTCAGCCCGGCTGCTCAAAGGTGTGATGAGGGTGGGTATTCTGGCCAAAGGCCTGCTGCTTCGTGGCGACCGGAATGTGGAGCTCATCCTGCTGACTGCTAAGAAACCCACCATCTCTTTACTGAAGAGCATCACCAAGCAGCTGCCTAAGGAACTGGCGGTAAGGAAACATTCAGATAAACTGAAAGACTTCTAATCTAGAAAATGTTTTGGACTTCCCTGCTGTGTGTAGGGGAGGGACTGTGGTAAATGGGGAATTCAACATTTTCACATTTAAGGTTTTATCTAAAATGTTATTATTTATTGACATTTACTGTTTTTGGGGATCATATTGAAGAACTGAAATCTAAATCCTTACAAAAATAGCATATTGTCAGGTGGAGTAAATATTTAAAAAGAGGAAGGTATTCTTTGTCATTCCCTGCCTTATGACTTGTGTCATAAGAACAGGATACCGAGGGACTGAAAGATGTTAGTTACTCCTAAAGCTCTTGTTAAGAGAGCAGAGCAGCTTAATCAAATGTTGCTATATAGTCATTGCTGTAATCCCTCATATTTTAGCAACCAAAATACAAAATTAGAAACTACCAACGCTGACTTCACACTAACTGGGTTCATCTCCTACGCTAGAGTAGATCAGGTATCATTAGTGAACACGTACAACTGCCTCCCACAACCAGAAGTAAGAAAGCTGTTTGTCCTCCACACATGTATTAATGATTAGAATTATGAGTGCCTTCAGTGTGAGAGTGAAATCTCTCGAGTGGACTCTTGGCATTTTGTTTCTGTGGCTATACAATGTGTGTTTGCTGGTTGTACTGAGTAAAACTACATTTTAAGCCATTCAGTTTGTTTTCCAGTCACTGTCATAAGATTTTTAGACCTCATCCCAGACACACTATATCTTAAACATACTGTGGGAATTCTAGGTTTGGAACATTTTTCCATTTTTACAAAAGACTAAACTGCCTCTAGGCTAAAAAGGAAAAACCCATATGAAATATTCATTGACTTTTAGGGATGGGACGATATGACTTTTTCTCGATACAATTCGGTACACAATATGGTGTGTACAATTCAATTCAATCACGATGCAATTAAAAATTCAATGACAGCAGTGTAGGACTAACTGTGGAATACTTGTACTTCATTCCTCTTTCCCCCCCTTTTTAGGGCTGGTTTGTTTATGTAAAGAACAACCAGATATATTGACTTATCTTCTGTTATCTTATTTGCAAAAAATATGAAGTCGCTGGCGTATGGAGACCACACAATGTATATTGCTAGACAAAACAATACATGTTGTGATGATTTTGTATCACAATATATTGTCCCATCCCTGTTGACTGATTTCCATTTAAGGCCCACGAAACAGAGGTTGGGGAACCAAATAAAGGTTGTGATGTGTTGTAATTCCTCAGTCTTCCTCCCTCCTGCTTCAGCTGTAATGAGTGTTGCTTTTCACTGATCTTTAGATTTACTGCCTGGTTATGACACCTGAATCCTACAGAGTGAGATGGGGCTTTCCTTCCTCACTGCCCCTTTCTCTCCTTTACTATTGCAAAGATTTTACTGAGTAATGCTTTTGTTCACATCACTGACCCAGTTTAAATAAGGGAGCTAAAATCTCATTATCTTTGAGGGGAAAAAATCCAGGATTAAAAACATTAGAGTATTGCCCCGTAACCTTGCCAAACAAGGCTGTCCTTTGCCCCAAAACCCCTCCTCCTCTGTAGTGAGTAATTCCAAGTGTCCTTTTAACTGGCAGACATTTTCTGAAGATCAGTATGAGGTGCAGGCTCACCCCGAGGAGGCGAACATCGTGATAGTTTCAAGCAAGGAGCCCAAAATGCAGGTGACCATTTCTCTCACCTCGCCGCTGATGAGGGAGGACCCTGCTGCTGAGAAGGACAAGCAGGCAGGAGGAAAAGCGGCTGAGAAAGGTTAGAGAAGCCAAAGCTTTCAGTACCAGACTACCAAATGTTAGCGATGTGTGTAATACACTCACATATATACAACCCTTTGCTCCACCTTTCCACGTATTAGCAGCCTAATATTTAGGCTGAGTGCTCTTAAATTACACAGAATCACAGGTGGGACTTTAACTAAGCCCACATTTAAGTTTTTTTTTTTTTTCTTTTAACGCCTAAAATAAGAATTAACTCACACGTTCATTTGCCCCACAATTTTCACTTCCCCCATTTTTTGCATTTACACTAGTCCTCAAAATCTTGATTTCATTTCCACATGGGAATCAAAAGCCGGGCTCTCCGACCTTTCTGTGCCATTAGGGTATGTGTTTATTTGATGAACACATGCTCAGATAAAACCTCTGGAAGACTGTACTAGTAGACTGACAGGAAGATCAGTGTTCAGATAATGCCCAGGGATGGAAATGCTTCAAATGGTTTTACAAATAAAATTTTTTATTTTAAACTGGAGATAATCTTTGCTTCTAACCTGTGAGGGGATTTTGAGGTCCAGTGACTTCCCATTCCCTCTTCTGCCATCCCTGCATCATAATGTGGCATTATCAGTGGGTTATAAGGTGTTGGAGTGTCATTTTATCGCCTCACAATGATCGGTTTTAAAATAATAATAAAATAACATTAGTTAATCCATTGTCATTACTTTTGAGATCATTGTGTTGCAAACACTCCTCTGCCTGCTCCGGTAACTGTCAGCATTTAAATGTGTTTTTCTCATTTGGAAAACATGATAGAAATGTTTTCTGTGGCCGCTGTTTTTTATTTTTAAATTTTTGTTTGGGTTTGTTGATCAGTGCCCCTAATTCTGTATCAGCAGACCTAGGCAAGCCAAAGACTAATCTGAAGACCACACTCATACACATACCACTAAGAACAGTAAAAGTGACAAAAACAGCTTGCCCATGTTTATTGAGCTTTCCAGAGTAGGAAGACCCTCCTGTGCACGATCATCAGAGGGCCTCAGCTGCTGCTAAATCCAAACTCCCAGCTCTAAGAGGCGTGATAAATATGGCTCTTTGATTCTAAGTGGTATGGTAGTGTAGACTTCAAACAAGTGGCTCTGTTTTTGCTGTTTCCCCTGTAAGAAAGACAATAACCTCTGTTGTTGCTACATTTATAATGAACATGGAAGTGTGGAAAGCCCCAAGGCTGATGTTGCGAAATATTACGTCATCGCAGACACTAGTAATCACACTGAATGTTCTGAACAAACCTGTCATTTTTCATTTGTTTTAGGTGACCAGTTATTGTCTTAATATGCTCATAAACCTTTCACAAATAGACACATCCAGCATAACTTTGCGTTTTACATTTATAGTTCCACTAAATTAATCTTTGGCTTTGTTGAATTGTTTTGAATAGATTTCACTTCACTGTAATTGGTTTGCATTTTTGTTGCTGAAAGGAGAGGTTCACAATCTTTCAAGCCTCACTTATAACAAGTCTGTTGCAGTAGTCATCGTTTTGGTGTTCTGATTATTGATTTAAGTCAAAATTGAAATATTGTGAAGCTGTCCTTTATAATATGGAGGCATGTAGGGAGCTTTTTGTCTCTTATGCTTTTATCTGCTTGTGAAGTTTACGTAAACATAATTGCAGAGGTATAATGGAATCTATTGCTTTCTAAGCAATGGTCTGTAGAAGGGGATGCAACAGTTTGTCTTATTTCCAAACCCTAAATTTGAGTATTCTCCAAAGAGGTCCATGTGTCAGTTGTTAAATGCTTTGAAATGGCGATAAGACATGGATGGATCTACAGTAGCATCTCTAAGTCAGGCTCTCATACAAAGCAGTTGATCCAATGCAACAAATAGGAATTACTGAACACTCAGTTAGTGTCCAGTAAAGTGAAATTATAACAAGTATAATGTCAAAACGGCTCAAAATAATTGGAAATATTTTACACAGAGGGTACAATAGGGCTTGTGCTGTGAAGGAAACTGAACTTGGACTTTTTTTATGAAAAATGTTCATTTCCTGAACTGAAACTTCTACAGTAATAGAGTGATGAAAATCTATTATAAGAAATGAGGAAATGTGTGTTGTAAAAAGGTCTGAAAGATAGAAACAGACTTAAATTAGCATGGTTACCTACAGTGCCTTGCGAAAGTATTCGGCCCCCTTGAACTTTGCGACCTTTTGCCACATTTCAGGCTTCAAACATAAAGATATAAAACTGTAATTTTTTGTGAAGAATCAACAACAAGTGGGACACAATCATGAAGTGGAACGAAATTTATTGGATATTTCAAACTTTTTTAACAAATAAAAAACTGAAAAATTGGGCATGCAAAATTATTCAGCCCCCTTAAGTTAATACTTTGTAGCGGCCAACACAAACTAGACTTTTTCAGTAATTTGTTGCTTTGCTTTCCTTCATCAAAAGGACCTAAACAATTGTTAACCTCAGCTCGAAAATGATTTTCAGAACTCAAAGATCTCCGGTACAGCCTAACACTAAACAATTCCTCATGATCTGCCTCTGCAGGGGTACTAATGCCATCGGAGCCACACTGTATAAAACAAATACATGAAACGATCGATTTAATTCATGTAGACTGATGAATGCACTTTTGACTGTTTTGGCATTTTGTGATGTGACTTTGTGGTGTTGGGTGCCTTTAATCCTTGTGTATTTCATCTCACTCCAACAGTGTGTGAATACATTTTATATACTTCTGTTTGCAGGAGTGTGTGTGTGTGACAGACAAATAACATATGTACAATAGGTCAGAACAAAACTATCTGCCCAGTTAATGTAATTGTAATATGATCGTTAAATTGGCTCATGGATAGATGTTAAAACGAACCACCCTGTTGTTTATCTGTATTCAATGGCCCGTGAGTCAAAATTCACACCTAAAGTCATTCAAATGAATCATCATTAGCGTGGAAGGAAAATACTTAAACAAGTCTCACTCATCCACTAACATGAATTAGCGAATTGCGTGTTTGCTTAACTGCAACTAACAAAACGAGGATGTAGGTAAATATTGAAATTCCCTTCGATTGGTGGCCAGTCTGTAAAGCACCGGGTGAGCAGGCGCTCCCTATTGATGAGCTTCAGCTAATCCATCGCATTTCCCTGTAAATAGCTTTCTGCATGAGAAAGAGACCCCCCCCCCCCCCCCAGAATGGCCAAGTCAAAGTCCAGACCTGAATCCAATTGAGAATCTGTGGAAAGAACTGAAAACTGCTGTTCACAAACGCTCTCCATCCAATCTCACTGAGCTCGAGCTGTTTTGCAAGGCGGAATGGGCAAAAATTTCAGTCTCTTGATGTGCAAAACTGTTAGAGACATACCCCAAGCGACTTACAGCTGTAATCGCAGCAAAAGGTGGCGCTACAAAGTATTAACTTAAGGGGGCTGAATAATTTTGCACGCCCAATTTTTCAGTTTTTTTATTTGTTAAAAAAGTTTGACATATCCAATAAATTTCGTTCCACTTCATGATTGTGTCCCACTTGTTGTTGATTCTTCACAAAAAATTACAGTTTTATATCTTTATGTTTGAAGCCTGAAATGTGGCAAAAGGTCGCAAAGTTCAAGGGGGCCGAATACTTTCGCAAGGCACTGTATAAATTTGCCTTTATTGCACCTTTCCCATAAAGGAAACTTTGACTGGTCATAGCAGATAAAGTGTACCTTATAACTCTTCCATTTGAAGTGCCGCAGAGAGCCCTGACGGGGAGTCGGCATGCTCAGTCCCCATGGACTGTATATAAAAGATGGTCAATGTGTCACCACTTCTCCAACAAAGTAAAATTGAAGCTAAAATATGAATATGTCAGGCATCATCTTGGCATTTGGCAACCAAAGTTATTGAGTGACAGATCGTCTATCAAAGCTGTCAAATCGTTTGTACATCCCATTTTTTATCATCAAATAACTTAATAAAAACAAACTTACCAGTTTTTAGTTTGGCTCATGTCATATCCGCTAACAAGGAATGGGCAGGGTTTATGACCTACACTGCATCCAGCTGCCAGGGGGTGATTGAGTCACGGTGGCTTTGCTTCCGTGAGCCGTCATGGCATCATTTTTATAGTCGGCGCCACGGCAATGGCAGTTAAGCATTAATAAAATGCGGACATTTCTAAAGTTATTAGTTACACCTGTGTTTGACAAGTCAAAATGGATTTCTAGAGAAAGGGCTACTCAGGCAGATGATAGTGTTTCCAGTTTTTAAGTTACTGTAGGATGGACTAAAAATCTAAAATGTATGTAGATTAGTCAACTTTTCTCTGACCGCCTTGGATTTCCTTATTTTTGCATGTCCCTGTAACCCTCTATATAAAGAACACACTGGTGCTGTTTTACTACTTTTTGCAAGTGTAAAACATAAAAAGGCTCTAGTCTTCCTCCTTCAATTATTTGCCCTTTCTTCTACATCTTCCCCTCATTATTTTTCTTACTGCACAAGCTGATACAAAGCGCTGTTAAGGAAGAGTCTGGTCACATTAGATAAACATGAGCATCTAGTGTTTTTACAGTCTCATCAGCGACTGATCAGTTTAACAAAGCACTTAGTTTCACTATAAGTCATGAGCCCATACATGTTATCTCCACCAGGTGTGGCTGACAAGGACCCTCCTGATCTTTTGAATAAGAAGAAATGTCTAGAATACCTGGCTGCTCTCCGTCACGCCAAGTGGTTTCAGGTAAATGCGTTACCAGAGCTTGAGCTCTGTCTTGCCTGCCGCTGTGCGACCCTAGCAATGGTTAAGAAATAAATGCCATTTGAGAGTTTCTTTTGCGAAGCAGGATGGCCCACGTTGTCAGTTATGAGCAGATGTTACATAGGATTTAGTCTCTTCTGTAGTTGTGAAGAAAAATCACTGTGCTGTCATGTGAAATTCAAGATTATTCTTGTTTCCCTTTTTCTTAGATGGCCACTTGCTTTGTTATGTTTTGTTGTTCTGACGTGCCACCAGCCCTAGGAGTAGTTTTTGAGACACTGTTGTCCAGATTGATTTATAACAAAGCATTTTATCATAACCAGAAACTTTACTACCAAGATGAGAAACTGTGACAACACATATCTTGTAGAATACGACAACGTATTAAGAAGTTATTGCGGAAGTTCTTTTAATGTGTGTCGCAGCTCTGACTATTCAAACAAGGTAACAACATTAAAACCTCCTGTAGGACTGAAGAACTCTATTCAAAATGTATGTACCATCCAGAATAAATGCCCTTTAAATGTTTTTCCTCATGTCTCAAGGCTCGTGCCAATGGACTGCAGTCCTGTGTGATCATCATCCGGGTGCTGAGAGATTTATGCCAGCGGGTGCCCACATGGGGGAAGATGCCCAGCTGGGTAAGCGTCATCTGTCTATGTTTTGACTATATATCATTCTTTATTTCTCGTGAACCTCTCTCACTGTATACTGTTATATGAGGGTAGGTATTCCAAGCGTACCATCTGAAAACGTTCTAGCTTGTAAGCAGTTTCACTGTGTCTGTTTCTCTCTGTGTGTTCCTCCCTTCAGGCAATGGAGCTGCTGGTGGAGAAGGTGATCAGCAGTGCTGCAGGCCCGCTCAGCCCAGGGGAGGCCATGCGCAGAGTCCTGGAGTGCATCTCCACAGGCATACTGCTGCAAGGTTAGATAACTATAAGGAAACAGGAACTTTATTATTATTAGTTTTTGGTCATTGTACAGTGGGTACGGAAAGTTTTCAGACCCCCTTAAATTTTTCAGTCTTTGTTATATTGCAGCCATATGCTAAAATCATTTAAGTTCATTTTTTCCTCATTAATGTACACACAGCACCCCATATTGACAGAAAAACACAGAATTTTTGACATTTTTGCAGATTTATTAAAAAAGAAAAACTGAAATATCACATGGTCATAAGTATTCAGACCCTTTGCTCAGTATTTAGTAGAAGCACCCTTTTGAGCTAATACAGCCATGAGTCTTTTTGGGAATGATGCAACAAGTTCACACCTGCATTTGGGGATCCTCTGCCATTCCTCCTTGCAGATCCTCTCCAGTGCTGTCAGGTTGGATGGTAAACGTTGGTGGACAGCCATTTTCAGGTCTCTCCAGAGATGCTCAATGGG